CTGTGGCCTTTTTCTTCAGTGCACTGTAATACTTTCTATTGGATGTGCTGGAAAATGGTGTTTGCCCCCTCATGAGATAACCTATGACAATTTATAGATGAATAACGACATCATCCTAGAATACTGCTTGCAAATACCATTACCTGGAATTAAGAATTGTGAATGCAAGCATGCGTATACATCCAAACAAATACCAACGTGTATAAATAAAATGTTAAATATATAGCAAATATGTGATCTGAAACCAAGTGTTAGGCCTTCTATTAAGTGATTGCTAATGTAATCAATCAATATTCTCAAGTAATGGCTTTACACAGTAAAGCATCCCTAGCGGCCTTTACAACATGCTATTCTGCTACTAGTAGTTAATAACATTAACTGATTTATACTTTCTACACAGCAAAATACATTTCAGCCCAAATGTCTGTTGTTTCTTTTCCCTGTTATTGCAACACTTTAGAAGGTAGTACAGGCGTATGTTAGGAGCCGGAGAGTTGCCACTCTGAGTCTCAGCTGATATGGCAGACGTGACATTTGGGTACTTGGAGGGCTCCTGTCTTGGTTGGTGCTGCTGGGGGGTTCATGCTCTCTGCCATGTGGTAGGGAACACCACCATTCATTCACACTGGGCTGAGGGCTTTTTCCTCTTCCCCCCTGCCCCAGGGCTCCAGTCCAAATACATATTCATGTTTTTGGCACATCTCTGAAATTTTATTTCCTTTTTGAACTTGTCCTTTACCATTTATTCAGTGAAGAGCCATGTGAAGGCACTTAACTTGTGCTTGACAATCAGAGGGAATTAAAATTAGCAACAGAAAGGTAAAGAAACTAATTTGTATTAGGCATTATGAATGTTTAATCCCAAATTTACGATTCCTGTAGTTAACCCTGTTGACATTAGCTGCTCGTACTGTATCAACAAAGTACAGGAATGAGACATTTTGGGTTTGAGGAATTAGTTAGAATGAAAACCCAGTGTCATGTAAAGAGAATAGAGATTACTTGTAAAAGCCAAATAATATGGCTTAAGGATTTTGTCTCTATAAACTTTTTAAACATTTTATAATTAGCAAAATATTAATCCCCTGAAAAAAGAATAACTTTGCACAGAGGGAGCACTGTGCTATTTAACTTTACTGACTATTGGGAAGACTCCATGAAAATTCTCCACAAATAGAGTTTTGGAATTAGTATTTTCAAAGAATTTTCATAGGAAGGATCACTAAAACCTACTAATTGTTCAGCTAAAGAAAATACTTTGGAACAAAAATGGTTCTATTAAAGCAAAACAACCTCCATTTGGAGATATGCTTGCTATCACCCATCTGGACGTTGACATTGAGAATTTCTCTCATCTCACACAACTTGGACGACTGAATATCTTGTAAAATAAATAAGAATTTACTGTGGTACTCTATTTCTTTGGACTTTATTTAAATAATCTGCAGTTCTTTTGTACTGAAAGAAAGTAAAATAAATCCATGCCTGGAGTTATGCATAAAAACTGCTTCTACGAACCTCTTTGTTTTGTCTGAGGACAATGCAATCATTTGTTTATAGGAAAAGTTACTTTTATTTTTCATTTCCCAAATCTGGGAAATTCCCCAGCGTGTGCTTTTAGAAAATCGGGAACTTAGCTTGGATGTGCATGCTTTTGGCTTAGTCTTTTGACACAGCAGTGTTTTGGTTTTAATTGCTATAAATGTGATAACATGAGCAGAGATCTCTAGTCATGATACGTTTTCAGAAAACTGCCAGTGACAGTGCTGGTGACAGTGAAAACAAGTTTTACACTTAAAGAATGGTCAGGGAAAGAATTTCCAGGTGAAATTGTAATTTTAATTGGTAACCAGCATAGTGTTTCCTTGAAATTAAATTTCTGAACTTATGTGTTTCCTACATTAAATGTCTGTAGGAAATCAGTTGTTTTTTGTCATTGGAAGAAACAAAGCCCTTAACTTAAAAATATTCAAATGCTCTTATTGTTTTAATGCATCTCTTTTTCTGTGTTTCTAGAGCTTCGTTCTTTTTGCAGTGTATACCCTTGTGCAATGTATTGCATTATTGTCTTCCTGTAATTTACTTAGAATTGAATGGAGTCTAAAAATAATCATCAGCTCATGTTTCTGTCCCCTAAGCTTAGCTATTAACTTCCACAATATAAGTCTGTCAAATAGAAGAATGATTGATCTAAGTAAGCTAAAGGAAAAGATGTTCAAATGCTCCCTGTTAATATGTAAATTGCATTAACATAATCTTGAATTAATCATATACACTAGTCTGAAAATTGCCTCCTTTTAATATAATGGGAAAAAGCTACAGAGGTATTTTGGCTATGGTTGTGCTGCATATTGACAAATGTGTGCAAAATACAGTTGCCTTCTGATAGAAGATTCATGTCCTGTCTCAGCTCCTAATTACTGCTTGAAGGTTAAGAGGAAATTTCCTGGGGCCCCCGGAGCATGCCACGCTGTTGAGCCTGCAGAAACATCAGCATCTAAGCTGGTGTCCTTGGGAAGCATCCAAGCTCCTAAGCCAAAATGTCGTCCCAAGTGACGACCCAAGCCCAGCTCAGAGCACGGTGCCAGCACACAGCAGCGCTGTTGCTCTCCTCACCCCTTATGTTTCTACGGGAATGAGGACCAAATGCACTGCATTGAGGAACAGCAGCCTGGGATGCAACAAAGGGCACACTTAATGTTTAGTCCAAATGCTGGCAGTGCTGTGGCTCATAAAAAATGTATTTCTTTAAAGCTTAATAGCTTTTGCCTTTAGAATACCATGTGGTACTAATCTCTTTTAGTAGTTCTGTGTATACTAGAGTAAAAGATATAAAAAAGACCATCTCCAAAACAGTCAGCTTTTAGATTATAAGACTTTGCATGTTGTCAGGAGTTTTGTTGCAAACAGGCATTACATTCTGCCAAAAACTGTCGTTGTTTATGTCTAATTGTACTTTCAGACAGATAAATAAGAAACAGCTGAACCGTAAGTGTGCTGAACACAAATTAATTATTGTGTAAAATAAACACTTGTGTTGGCTTGTGTATCACTACAGGGGGTTATAACATCAATGATGTCATGTTTTACTGGACTAGAGGAAATGATTCAGTTCGAGGTTTGGACACACTCCAACTGGCACAATACACAGTAGAAGACCACTTTACCTCGGTGTCGGAAGCAGTATACGAGACAGGTAAAAACACCCTTCTAACACTTCCTAGGTACAGTTTGGAATATGGCTCTGGAAACAGAGCAGCATTAAGGAACAGAGCACATTGCTTTCTCTTAGGATGACAGTTCTCGTTTTCTGCTGGATTATGTTCTTGAAACCATACATACTTTTCCAGATGTTACCAGCAGAGACCCAGCTCATGTAAAGGTTGAGTGTTTTTCAGCATTTTCTTGGAGGCTGTGCATTATCTAAAGAATGATAAAGAGATGTACTACTACTTCCACGTAATGTCAGGGAGAACTCTTGTGGAGGAAGAAGAGCCTGTAAATTGGGTATTTAAATTGGAGAGAGACCAGGAACCCTGGGTACCCAGCTTGGAACAGTTCCCAGCCTTCCTGGAAATAGCCACTCTGGCTTTATTAGGCAAGTCAAAAGCCTCTATTCAGCCATGGAAATGTCTGTGAATATGCGGGGTGCTTTTACAACTGCAAGAAGTTGGGTTTCATGGCTAGTGCTTGTCAGAGTTGCTCTTCATATGCAGCAGCCTCTGTCCAGCCTGGTGGGCAGCAGAGTGCAGATTGCCCAGCCTGAGGTCCCTCTGCCCAGGGAAGGGTCAGAAGCATTTCTGCGGATCTGCTCTTCTGCTGATCTTGGGAAACTGCTGTAGAAAGTTTCCTCTAACTGCAGGACTTAACCTCATGAAAGAGTCTGTTCCTGTTTATTTTCCAGAGATTTTGAAAGGGCTTTCAGAGAGTTCAAGACCTGCCAGACCTGCTTTATGCTCTTTGAGTTACCCTGATGTCCTTTGTTACTGTTCTTCACTCACACACGGTTTCTTTTCTGCCCAAGCCAACATGTCAACCGAAAGGGTGATCTTTACATGAAGACACACACATCCTTCAAAGCTGTAGTTTCACCAGACAATATGTTACTAATTCTGAATCACAGAAATAATAGTTTCTCTATTCCATTGTTGGGTATTCCTACTTTAATAATTCAACACAGAAACTTTATGATCTAATTTCAGGTATTAATTCAGGCTAAAAGTCAAAGTTCTCTAAATGGATATAAAAGTAGAAATGAATACTTACTAAGAAGGCTCCAGGATCACAAAGTATCTTGCTACTTATGTAAGTGACATCTGTTTGCCTTCCTCCTTTTTACAGCTTCTGGGTAAGCAACAGCAGGTTCAATCAAAGGAAAATAATCCTTTACTGCTGTTCTGCCCAGAAGGGTATTAGGACCTGTTCACCGCATAGGAAAGAGGAAGAGGAAACCTGCTTAATCCTTACTACCTTCTATCATGGAGTCCAGACTCTAAAGCCAAAAAAAGTTCTATTATTTTTTTACCAAATAGAATAAAAACAATTTCCAATTATAACTGAAGAAACATGATCAGATGAACTGTGCTCTTTTCAGTAAGTGATGCTGTCTTCCTCCCTTTTTGTTGGCAGGAATCATATGTATAAGCTCAAAAGCCACTTTATCTTTTAATTATACATTTTAACACATGCAACTTAGATTAAAATTTCCCATACCTGCTTGTTTCCATTCTCCTGTTCAAGAAAGCCACGCTATCAAGTGTTATGCTGTATTTTTAAAATGAAATCTCATAATCCTCTTAATTTTCTATTGAGTTATGAATTAGGTGCTATTTTCTACAGATTTTTTTTAGGAAAGCAGTGCCTACTGTAGCCCATACTAAAAGAAAAAAGCAACCAGATTATGGAACTATGTAATCAATTTAGAAATGAAAAATGATGCTTTGCATTTCCTTAACACCATTAATTGATATCTGAGAGGATTTTATAAATAAGTTACATTATAAATAACAATTGTTTATAACAGTTATGATTCAAAAGGCTGAAGCTAAAGATATGAGAGAAGAGCCATGTGTAGCATTTCCCAACACAGCAAAAAAAGCAGTCAGGGTCTGATACTTTGAACTTGAACAGACAATACAGCTGCTGTGCAAGTGAAATATTGCACAACAATGCAAAGCCCAAGTTCATGTGCAGCCATGGACAGAGCCAAATTTAAAATGTAGTCAGCAAAATTCCTGCATAAGTAACTTCAGTAAACTTAAGAAAAGGACATTGTGGATTAATCTTGTTTATAGAACAGCATGCATCACATAATAGTAATCACATTATTGTAATCACATAATAGTAAGTCACTTCGAATAATGTTAGCTAGATTGCTGGCTAGGGTTTGGTGTTGATTTCATTTTGGTACAGAATAATTTAATTTTGGACATGGGTAAATTAATTTCTAGAACCACTTCCTACATGTCTTAACTATAGTCCTTATTCCTTATACACTGATACACTCTTGGACCCCAAACCCATGTGTCTGTCTCGGTGGCTGCTGGGTTTTTATTTTAGCTGTCTAGCCAACACCACCTGCATTCTCAGAGTAATAAACAGTGATATATAAAGCTTGCCCTTCTTATTGGAAAAACATAAAAGCAATGAAAAACTGTTACAGTCTAGCTTTTTGTGTAAATAATCATAGAAATAAGGCTGAAATACACTTTAAGAATTCATTTAATCTATTCTCATGTCGCAAGACAAGGTCATCTGTATCTACAGTCTGCTTCCTGACAGATGTTTTAGGAGTAAGCTAGACAGACCTCCAAAGTCTCTGCTTCATGACCTCCCTAGATGGTTTTTTTCCTGGTGATTATTACAAGCATATTTTCCTCATGTCTAATCTGATTTCCCTTGCTGCATTTCAAACCCATATGTGGATATGTAAGACAAATTTCCTGCTATTTTTCAGCAGCCCTTTCATGATTTCAGGACAGATATATCTCTTCTCAAAGCAACACTTTCCCTCTTTTTAATTCATATTCAATAATCATAAACATAAACAGTTGCCTAGATTTCCTGTCTTTGCTATTGTTCTCCCATCTAATTTCTCATATCTTTGCTGATGTGCAGCACCAAAACCTGGGTACCCTGTTCCCATCAGATAACCTCCATAGAGGGAAGGGTTTACCTAATGCATTTCATTAACTCCGTTCCTCGTTATCCATTCTGAGTTGATATTTGCTTTTCTTGCAGAAAGTTGTTGTGCCTTTTTGACCTTGTTCAGCTTGCAATTCCTTCTAGTACTCCACCTCCTTTATTGCCCTGTAGCCACATATTCCCTGTGCTCTGTTTAGGGAGCTAGTAATTCCCACTGAGTGTAATTTCCCATCTGAGTGTAGGACTTTGTACTTGCTTTTGTTGAATTGAATCTTGTTTTACTCAGGCTGATTTTGATAGTTGTTGGGATAATTTTGAACTCTAATCCTGTTCTCTAATGTGCTAATGCTCCTCTCTTAAAAGACACTTGGTATATCATCACATTTGTTAGTGAGCAGTACTGGGCACAGGACAGACCACATGTGTCCCACTTGATAAATGCTTCTATTTTCACAGCAAACGAAGCTAGTTAATCTCAATTAACATTTTTAATTGGAGAAAGAAGCAAAAATGTCATTTAATACTTGAGGCTAATTGGCTGTTGATAGCTTTTCTTCTGGCCAGCAACTTTCCTTAGTCTTGTTCTCACTACTGCAACCCTCCTGCCAAGTCTTCAGCAGAAAAAAAAGATGCTCAGCTTGCTCAGGTCTAGTCCAACATTGAGTGTTCAGCCGGAGCCCAGAAGGCAGGGGGAGTTATGTCAGGCAGTCAGGGCTCTCAGTGCACTTCCCCACTTAGAAAACCATGAAGTCAGCAAAATGGCGTATTCAAATGGTATTATTTTGGCAGAACAGAGGGAAAGAAGAGACAGAAGCTTATAGTCAGTCTCCTCTCCTTGATGCATAAAGACATTTTCCCTCTTGGAAAAAGATTGCAAAGGGAGCTGGCTGCTGTTCCTTGTCTGCAGTCACTGCCAGGATTTTGATGTCTATCGCAAATCCTGCTTTAGCCTCCTTGGGCTAGCCTTGTCAGACCTCATTTGGCTATGCAGTGTTGAAACGCTGCTGACCCCTGGCCACTCCACATTATTGGCTTCTCAGGTGAGAGGTCAGGACTAAGCCAGTAATGAGTTGCTCTCACTAATTATTAGCGATCTGAAAATCAAAAATTATATAAACTATAAAGGGTGTATAAGAGTGTATAAATATAAGACTCCTACACAGAGAGTGTATGTTCATCAGTCACAGCCTCTTTCTCTTGAAATAGAGGCATTACCTTGCTTTGTCCTACAGGCCCATCTGCAGTTTCCCAAGGCTCAGGAGATTTCTTAGTTAACAATCAAACTTTCCTAGGATTTTCAGTTGTTCTTTTCTGATGTGTGGTACACTGAGTGACTTCTCTCATTACGTTTATCAGTTCTTTTATAATCTGTAATTACTCTCCAATTGTTATTTCTGAGAAAGTCTTCTTTGCCATACAGGGCTTATGAACAATCTCAGACCCGTATTCAGTATAATCTTATCTGGTGAGTCTTTGGTCAGCCTCACCTAAGATTCAAGCAGTTACATATATATATATCTATATATGTTACCATTATGTTCAACTTACCTATCTGAGGTCATATAATCACTCTCTGTAAGCAAGGTTTCCCACTTGAGTTGACGTTGAAAAGTTTTCCATCATGAACTGTTTTTGTGATACTTCTGCAATGTAGAACAGTTTAGAAAGAGAACAGTTTTGGAAAATACTTAGAAAAAGTTACAGAAAGATAAAAACATGTGGAAATGCAATGAATAGAATGAATATCAAGGATATTAAGATGATGCATTTTTTTGTTAACTTCTGGGAAGTTCTTTGTAGTATAGGCAAAAATACACATAAACACTTGGAAAACTTTCTGTGGCATAATTGTTCTGTAAATTTTTTTTTTACAGGTAAGCTAAATGGATAAATATATCTGTACACAAACACTACATGAAAGGGTTTATTTCATTCTTGGGAAATTTGAATTTCAAACTCATTTTTTTGTAGAGCATTTTCCTGAAGAAACACATGTTGAGAAGCCTGCCCTGATCTTTCATTTCCTTTAGTTCACCTCTGAAGAAGAAGTAG